AATCAGTTGAAGAAATGTTGAATCCCATTCCTTCCCATGGTATTTATTTTACATTTCTCATATCGAGTAAGTACTTGTCGTTACTTGAAATGTTTCCATCATGTGTCAAGTAATCTGTGCATTATGGACATCTTTTTCTTGAAGAAGGAATTGACAGGGGACTATAATGTAGCCACATTACATTTATATAATAAGAGACATCTTACAGGTTTCATATTGAAGGGGGTCTTTATCAGGAGTTATATGTATTGTCTCTTTCATGTCATTATAGACGATAAATCACGGGTTTGATATCTATGAAGCGTAAATCTGAGGTCTGAGTCTAAGTGGGATGAGAATGTGGTAATATTTGCATGTGTCAAAGGAGGTTTCGGAGACGAGCGCTTTACAGGGAGATCAATTTATATGTCTATGAGGAAAATGGAGAGGGTTGTGATTACTATATGTCTCTTGTTTATGTCATTCTCAGTTGATTTCATTTCTTCTTTCTTGCCAATCATTTGTTCATCAGTAAACATTGGAAACATAGTCAGGTGTAATATATAAAAATATAGGAGGCCCTACATAGTCAATCACAAAGGGATCAAAGAGAAAAATGTAGTATACAAAAAAAAAATACCAGGCCTTATAGTAAGAAAATGTTTTGTGAACTTCCAAACCAGATACCAGTCAGAGTAGTGAAGTAGAACCAATCAGATTGACTGACATTCCAGTAGTGAAGTAGAACTAGTCAGAGTGACTGACATCCCAGTGGTGAAGTACATGTAGAACCAGTCAGAGTGACTGACATCCAAGTAGTGAACTAGAACTAGTCAGAGTGACTGACATATAATAAGCAGTGAACTAGAACCAGTCAGAGTGACTGACATCCCAATAGTGAAGTAGAACCAGTCAGAGTGACTGACATCCCAATAGTGAAGTAGAACCAGTTAGGGTGACTGATATCCCAGTAGTGAAGTAGAACCAGCCGGATTGTTTAACATCCCAGTAGTGAAATAAAACTAGCCAGAATTACCGACATTCAGGTAGTGAAGTAGGAGGGGTGCAAAGTAACTAAATGGTAAAGTAATGAAATATTCACCAAAAATCTGTCAGTTAGAAGAACAAATGACCCTTTTCTGGTAAGTTTTTGATGGTCTATGTGCCTTTTTGACTTCCAAAGATTCCCAGATCTGCACTTGACTTTTGTAATGAAAAGTGATAGTGAGTGTTCTAGAAAGACTTTTACATCTTTTCTGCATATACATGTACATCTATTCATGTTAAATTGATTTTCAGCAGCCAGAGCCAGTTATGTTACTAATTGGCAAAAAAAGGATTATCCAGCTTAACTCTTTATTTAGAGAATACCACTTGTCAGTTTGTTGGACTTAATTAAAGGCCTACAGTAGTCAAAATCATTAATTTTTCATGCTAATATCAAGATATAATTTTATAGAATTTAGTAGTAAACCATATTCCAATGGTACATGTATTTGACAACCTATTATATATAAAGACTACTTTATGTCTTGTATTCTTATCCAATAAAAAAAAGAATTCTCCGAAATTTTAGAAATCTTCACAAAGATGGGAAAGATTTTCTACTTGTCAAAATGTCACTTTAAGTGTATCTAGTTCAGTTGTGAAACTTTCAATCTAAATCATCATCCAATAAATAGAGATGCGGTGTGAGGAATTGGAAGCAAGGAGAATAGGTCTCCACTGGTACAATGTCGGTAAATTGGATATTGGAGAAGGGGAAAATGAAGACTTAAAATGATTAAATACCAGAGATCAGGCCCCTATAATTACATTTGTCCCATCATCAACTGTGTGAACTTAGGCTAAATCTAGATGATTTTTGACTAGATGGTTTAGCCAATGTCGTTCTGTTTTCTTTAGATCATGTTAGGCATGTTGTTAAGAGAAAGTTTTTTTTTTTGAAGTAATGTATTAAAGAGTGAGTGCAGACTGTATTTTTGTCAGATTAAATATTGACAATGAATATCGTATCTGACGTTTCATTATTTTACAGGATCCTTCAGATAATAGGTTTTGGAAGGGACACCCTAAAAAAATCAAGTTATCTAGACTGTCTTTTCTCTATGAATGTTAACTACATGTACATGTATATAAACTTCAAATAAATTTGAGTCACAGTGACTCTATTTGGGTATGATGCTGACTAGCTAACCAGGAGGTCGCAAGTTTGCTCCTGGTGTTGACCGAGAAAGTTCCTCAGGATTTTCCATTGTGGTTTCCCCTTGTCAGTAGTGTAGGACATTGTCTAGTTGTTTGGGAGGAATGAAAAACAGCGGTCTCATGTACACATTCGCATCATGTAAAAGTACCCTTGATTGTTGGAATTCGAAATAAGAGTAGGCCATAGTGCCACTGTCTGGGCACAATTTCCCTCATATCACACTGCATGGCATATGTCTTTCTTCATTAGCCCAGTCGGTGCAGAAAACCCCATTTCATGTCCAAATAAATGAGAACATGTATCCGATGTTCAAGAATAAACCGTCCCATTTGAGAATAATATTTATAAATGGGTCAACAAGCCAGAAAACAGAAGAAATAGATTTAATGAAATTACTTTTCATAATAAATTATTTAGTTACTTGCCTTGAAAATTATAGAAATGACTTGAGGTTTGTCCTAATTTTCCACACCAAGCTGCTAATGAAAATGGTCAAAAATTATAGAATGAAGGAAATCAACTGGTGTTCCAAGAATAGATATTATTGATAATATTATAAGTCAAAGAATTTTTCACTAATTCTCAGTAAATTCTCAAATGAGAAAACTATTATTCAGAATCAATATCACTCCCAGATGATAAGATATTATTGATAACATAATAAGATGAATGATTTGAAGAAGAAAAAGAAAAGAATTAGAAATGACATCTAATAAACTGGTTAATCTTGTGTTATACAAAAACAGATGGCCAGCTATTGACCAAGACTTTCCATTGATTCTCATCATGGAGGAGAGACTTTCTGAAGACCTTTACCAGGAAATCACTCTGTGACCATGCACACAATTAAGTCATTTCAATGTTTGACGTTCAAATAAATGGGGACGAATTATGTGTTGTTACCCACATAATCATGGACTCAGTCTCAAGATCTTTTTAGAGATCAATTGGATTTAAATGGAGGGGTTAATGGACCAGTTCTACAGTATCTGATGGAAATATTATGTAGCACGTCAGTATTAAGAACCCCCAAAAAGATGTGTTAAAAGCGTGATGCTCTATTAAATCCTGCTTTGAAATATATTTTATTTTAATAGGATTGCTCATGTAACAAAATGTGTTAGGATGTAGAATTATTTTGATAGTTAATCTGTGAAATAAGAAAGTATGTTCTGTGCTTTATCTTTATGGCATAAAATGTGGTTAATAGACATTGGTCTACAGACACTGATTGATGTTTATGTCTGGACAAAAACAATCTGGTCTCTTACTTAACATTAATAATGATACTTAGCTGCTTATTTCACATTACCCATATTATTTATTATATTATATTGAAAATGATATTGATAGAAAGTGATAGAATTTTCGTCCATTGATTAAATCATTTTTATATACGCACATTGAAATGTGGTCGTATATTGTCGTCCATCTGGTGGTCCGGCGTCCACAATTGACTTAAAATTTATGCACAGTGTTTAAGGTCATGAGACGAAGAAGCCTATTGATTTTCACTGATTTCCGATAATTACTGCGAGTTATGGCCCGGCCCTTATTTCACTTTGTTCAGCCTTGTTAATGCTCAATTGATGAAAGTTATCAACCGATATGTATGAAATGTATATGCATCATTTAATTATATAGCTAATTATTTTAGATCCCTTTTGTTATACCCCCACATGGAAATGTCATCAGATATTTCCGTCACCCCCATCCGTCCGTCTGTCCGTCATCCACAATTTCTTGTGAACACTCTACAGACTACATTTATGGCATCGGATTTCTCCGATATTAAATAGATTAGAAGTTTAGCCATATTTTAATTTGATTTAAAAATGGAGGAGCGAGACTTAGCTTTGAACAACCAGTTTGGTGGTTGCAATTATTGCACACGTCTTGTCAAACCTTCAAAGGCTAATATCTTTGCTTGCAATTATAGAGTAATTGGAATGAAATTTTCAAATTATTTATTTTACATTATTTATTTTCAAACTATTATAAAAAGAATGGCTATCTCTTTATCTAAATCTTACATAATGTATCTTTTAATTACATGTATTGTGGATTATTATGAAATTGAGTCCATATTTATATTTCCTGGCCATTAGGCATATACCTTTCAACAAAAATAAGTTTTGTTGGTTGAAAAAGAAATGGCCAAATCACAGTAATCCATATTGCCATCCAATAGATTTTTGAAAATTCTAAAATGATTTAATGTGCTTCTCCGCTTGAGAAGAGTCACTAAGCTAGTTGACCGACATTTTAAGCATATTTCGAGACTTTTGAGAAGTTTATATTCTGCTTTCATTTAATAAAATTGAAAAGGTTTAATTAGTCTTTTTGTTTATAACAGATGTGAGCAGGAGTAGGACTGCATTACAAAACAGTATACTAATTGTTGGATATGGCGACCATTTAGGGCAGAGATCTATTCTCGAAGTATGAGTAGATGGATCTCTGTGTGCAGAATACCATATCAAATCCCCATGACTCAGTTTCCCCCATCTCTGAGCGATGCTAAGAATCATTTATTTCTGTTGTTTGTGGTTCTTATCCAGGACCAACTAGTGTAAATAAAATAAGGTCCACATTTTTTGCTTTTTGGGCCTGGGCCGGATTTACCAATAGGTATTAATTGTTGGCCATTAGTACACTGAAACTACAGTAAGACTTAACTGAAACTACAGTAAAAATTATAGATATACATGTATATTTGATACTGAAGCATGCTAACATTTCTATAGATCTGGGAGCCAAGGGGTGAAGGAAACTTACTGCATCTATTTATTGTATCCTCTTTTTTTTTCTTCAGGATATTGTACATGGAAGAGGAAGTTTGTTTTGTGATGCAGAATGCAGACAGCATGAGGTAACCTTTTAATTTTTATGTGCTGATATAGAAATGTGATCGAATATTGTCGTCGCCCCCGTCCGTCTGTCATTCCTTCAGTCCATCAACAGGCTAAAGTTTAAATACGATTGACTTTAAATTTATGCACAGTGTTAAAGACCATGAGACGAAGAAGCCTAGTGATTTTTAAGGTCGTAACATGAAGAAGCCTATTGATTTTCAACGATTTCCGATAATTACTGCCATAGTTATGGCCCACGATCACTTTGAAAAATCTTATGGACGCTTGAGAGGCTAAAGTTAATATCCGATTGACTTACATTTATTATAACCGATTGACTTACATTTATTATAACCTATCAATTTTCAACAATTTCCAATGCTTATGGCAATTGATATTAAATGTTTTGTATGCTAAATGTTAGAATAGGGCAGAATTAGAAGCCAGATGGGTTGTTACTCGTAATCAGATTTTAGTGTGTTGTAAATGTTTTCATTTCTGACAAAAGAAAAAAATATGCAACAGCCCTTGTTGACTCCCCGGACGACTTATCTGCTGTGTTCTGTTACGTTGCATGGAAACCTATCTTTTTATTTTTGAAAATGTTAATACATGAATTTATATGATGCCTTTGTTTCTGCTACAGTTACATATCTATAATCTCTTATAAAACAGGAACCATAATTTAATGTTAATACATATATTCTTTACCTTTTGAAGACATCCTTGGGAATGAAACTAATCTCACACTTAACACTAGGCAAGATGGTATTTATGTTTTTAAGATAATTACATTTTTTCTGACATTATCAACAAAACAGCTGTCCAGATGATGGTGTGATTGTAGTTTCTGAACAGTATGTTTCTGGCCACTTTGTGCAATTACAAATGTGGCCTAGAAAGGTCCACAGTTGTCTTGTCATTTCTGTTAGGAGAAAATAGGATGCAATGTCTGGTATTAATATTTGATTATACACCATTCCAGATAAAGAACATTTCTTCTCATATTAGCTAACAAAGTAAGAAATATGTTGCTTGTCTTTGATTCCGAAATTTATAAGTTTATTTGGATTAAAAAGAAGTTTTAAAATGGAACTGAATGCATACTTTTAGAAAGCTCATTCAAGTGACAGCGATAAAATGAATAAATGTTCTGGAGGCGTATTCTGAAAAATGTATGTTCAGAATATCCATTCATTTTGGTTGCTTTTTTTTAACTTCTTCAAAACAGCTGAAGCAATATTAACACAATTTGAAGCTTTAGATTTACATTATGTATGATGGAAAATGTTTTCTTAATTTCACACGCAGAAATTCTTTCTTCACAGAATTCTTTGTAACCAAACAAATGTAGATTTCCCAAACATATGTCAGGTAATCTTGAAAAATGACTATTCTGATTACAAAGTACTTGAAATACATTTAAAAGAAAGAAATGCTAGATGAAAAGAATTGTAGTCTGATTAAATCTGTGTTTAAACAGTTTGATGTACAGATTTGGTAACCACCTGTAGTTTATAGCAACCTGTTAACTATTAGCCATAAAGGCATGTTAAATTACTAGACAGCTAACCTATCAACCACTAGGCAAGCTCTAGTTTATCAGTATTAAACCAATGTACAAGAGGAATGAAACCACACAGTGGGTTAACATTACTGTTAATTTACAGGAATTATATTTGGTATCACATCACAAAAGACAAGAACACCAATTGTCCAGTAATCAGTACTGACCATTATAGTGGAATTACCCAGTCAACTAGAACAGTATGTGATGATGGCCATGCTGGCACCATTGGCTAAATCAATTATCATGCCTGTCTTCTTATGTTTCTCTGTACACACTGAGAGAGTTAAGATAATGTTATTGCTGAGCTTCAATCATAAGCTACTTGCAGTCATTTACATCCAGATTGTGATTTAATGGATTGATAGATTGCTCTGCTAACAACATATTTTATTCTTCTAATAATTTGTCTGCTTCAGTAAATAACATAAAACAAGACACAGTTAATGTAACATCAGAGAAGTAACAGTATTTCATTTTTTTTTTTTTAAATCAAATAGACGTAATAGCTAGCAAAAGTAGTCACATAAAATAATTTTTCATTAATCATTGGAATTATTATGTTTTTAAAAAAGTTAATTTGGTTAATGTAAAGGAATAGTGTTTCAGTTTTTTATGTAAATTGTATCGTTTTTAACATAATAGTTATTCGATGTTTTCTGATTTGCTGAAACTGTTTTGAAGTACATGTATGATTGTCACATAAAAGAATTTGTCATTGGAAATGTTAGTTTTTACACTGTTGTAGATAACCTGAGTAAAACAAAAGACATTTTATAATTCTTTTTGCATAATAGATAATTACCAGTATGTGTTTAAGTCATTAAAAAATGTTTGAAATAGGATTGCCACCTGAAATAATTTATAATTAAAAATATCAATTTTCATAAAAAATGCCACCTGAAATAATTTATAATTAAAAATATCAATTTTCATAAAAATTCAATAATTTGCCTTGTACATGTAGGTTCTAGATGAAAGATCTAATATTTCTGCCTTTAGGAAATGGCAATTCTTATAAGGTCTTATATCTAATAAAAAGTGCAGTTCTGTTTGTGAAAGGATTGACATTTATTATTCAACATGTAAAAACTGGATATTTCATGCAATTTTAAGATATAAAATAACATTAAATTTGCCAACATTTTACTGTGGCTGCATATAATCCTCACCCACTTCTTCATGGTCGATAGCCAGTTCACATTTTCTCGTAAATAAGTTTCAGAGAAAGATTATTTTATAAAACTTGCTTGGTTCAATTATTAACAGTGTTACAAAATTCTTTTTAAATGCTTATATATATGGATGATAGGGATATTTGTATAACTTTTAAGTTAACTGTAGTAGGAATGTCCATTTATTTACTCTCGGCATTTCATTTTTTATACGCCCACATGGAAATGTGGTCATATATTGCCGTCACCTCCGTCTGCCAGTCTATCCATCTGGAAGACTGTCCGTTGTCAACAATTTCTTGTGAACACTCTACAGACTACATTTATCATCTGATTGTTTTGAAATCGATATATGTTGTTTGTATTAGTGAGATGAAGAAGCCTATTTAATTTCAATAACGTCTGTTAATTTCTTCTGGAGTTATGGCCCTTGTTTCACTTGGTTGCACTTTGTGAACACTCTAACGACAAAAGTTATCCTCCAATTTGTATGAAATTTATATGCATCATTTAAATTAATAGAATGGAGAAGCCTATTGAATTTCAGCAATTTCCGTTAATTACATCTAGAGTTATGGCCCTTCTTTTGCGCAGAAGTTTCAAAAATAGTTGATCACCTAACCACCATAGAAAATTAGGTCCCAGATCGGTATCTGTTACAGGTATGGAGAAATAGTCTCCCGCGGTAAATAATAATAATAATAATTTTATTAATAACAATAGTCTTTCAGATGAAAATTCGAAAGCCTAATAACTACAAAAATTATATAACCGTCTGAGTAAAAAAAGAATTTAACTAGAAAAAAAAAAATATTCAACTACATTTATTAATTTTTCAACTTTTTAAATTCAACTTGCCCTTCATTAAATTTCAACTGTCCACTGTTCTTTTATGTGCATGCCATCATGTACATGTGACCTCAGTTTTTTGTCCAATCCAAACGACTACAGTGTTCTCAACCACAAAGCCACACTGAAAAACCGAATGACTGTTTAAATTCATACTTTTATAGATACTTGCTAAAAATTAGTTTGTGGCACTTGATGTGAATACAGTTGAAAATTTCCCAGACAAATTTAACTGTGACTTCCTTACTGTATATTTTGGAAATCTTAAAATAAGATATAACAGGTGATGCTAGCAAAGGTATAGATCTAACTTGTGTTGAAATCGATATAAAGAGACAATCAAATGAAGGAACAAGTTAATTGATTGGAAAGTCTTGGTATAAACCATAATTGTCAGTCTAGATAACTGTTCCCAGAGAAAATACCCAACTTATTAAATCAACAAGTAATTGTCAGAGGCTAAACCAAAGTATTTGATAGTGGATCTGTGGTATAAAGAGTTTGTTTAAAGCCAATAAGATTAATGAATTATTTAGTTGAAAGCTAATAAGCATAGGAGCAGCCAATCCTGAAAGCAATCAGTACACAAAATTGGAATTTAAAACCATGCAAATCACTTTACACCTTTTTTATGTCTTGAAGTTGCAGGTCACCTAACAGATGAGATAACTATGTCACACTCTTTCGCATGAGCTCACCATCTTAACATTATCTATAAATTTCACAAGCCAGTCAGTCTTATGGATGATCATTTTGTTGGAAAGGTTATGGTTATATTGTGACATCTTCATTTATTAAAACATTTTTAAATCAATTTATTGATTACTTCAAATCCCATTTCATATTTTGATTGCTTGTTAGTGAGTTAGGTTGTAACAATAAAAGGACATTAAGTGTAGCCAGTTGCTATTTAGGAATGACTCTGTCTGCAGAAAATTAAACCTGCATTTTCGGGATTTCTTGAATTTGGGAGCTGGTGCAACCATATGCCACAGTAGACCACTCTTTCTCTCTGAGGTATAACTGATTCTACATGTAACTGCTTATTAACAAATAAAAGAGTTGATACAGAGACAAAGAGAGAGAGAGAGAGAGAGAGTTTAAGTTCCACTCGACACTAACCATGTCATTTCGGTACTAACATATGATATATCTTAATATCAATATTTCATTGTGCGCAGGTAATTTTTAAAAATGGAAGGATGGGATTGGGCAGGTGACCCTACTACTTGTCACATATAAATAAGGCAGGTATCAATACTACAACACTTACTCAGTGTCAGATCTTATGATTTAAAGTGCATTCATAAAATCCGTCACATGTATGTGAACACAGCCTTAGATTTCACCTACACTTTTCAATTAATCATTCACCTAGACTGTTCAATTGATCATTTACCTAGACTTTTCTATTTTTCATTCACCT